TTTTATATTCTTGTTTTGGGGTAGAGGAAAAATTTAGAAGAGAGAAAAGAGAATGGGGGGAGAGGGAAAAATAAAAAGTTAGTAATTTTTTTTTTTTTTTTAGAGGGGAGGGGGGGGGGGGGGGGGGGGGGGGGGGGGGGGGGGGGGGGGAAGGGGGAAGGAAGGAAAAAAACGGGGTTAGTTAGGAGCAGAGCCTGGACCCAGGCTACAAAGGAACAGGCTACATTCACCAATGTTTACTGAGCCCTACGCATATAATTCAAAAATGTTTATAATGAACACAATTTCCATTAACTTTAATTGAAATTGACAAACTGGTCATTATGCCATGCTGGGCATTGAAAATAAAAAAAACAACCCTTAAATTATGCAAGCTATATGGCTATATATTAATGTTACAGTTCACATTTTATATCAGGTTAATTTTGACTTAACCTAGTTTGATTGTCAATTTCCTTTGACTGCTAGCCTTAGTAAGCAAGGAAATGAAGAATCAACCTTAAATAAAAAATTCAACCTAAAACAAATTTGACCTGTAGGATATACATAAACATATATTTTAATGTTGCCATTTATTTAACAACTTCACTGTTTTTAAGGAAGTGGTCAAAACAAGACCAGACAATGAGAACACACCCTGTCTAAGGGTGGTGTGGTGGGGGGGGAAGGCAAATGAGTTTATGAGCCTGACTGACACATTCAAAATTTTAGATTAGACTTTAATTTTTTTGTTTGCATGAAGCTGTCGTTTTCAGAAAAACAAAAAGCTTGTACTTTTTGCACAAGTAATAAAGAGGAGAGGATACAACAACAAGATGGTGGCAAAGACGGGGAGAAGGAAGAGACACCTCCATTCTTTTTGTGGAGTAGTTGGTCCTGTCTGTATACAATAGTTTTGACCACTTCCCTTAGAAATGATAATAACAACTTCAACTAAATCACAACTCTTAAAATCAAAGTACATTCTTAGCATTTTGCTCCCTGTGGTAGCCCCATCAAACAATACTGCTCAAAAATACACTGAAAGGATTTTGTCCAGAGAGTTGAAAGTTACGTAGATGCCCAATCACATAACTCACAGTGAGTCAGGTTTATTGAAGGTAACAGAGCCATAGTCCTTTAGAGATGAGGCATCATGTGTAATTGCCAAAGTTGTCAGCCTTCTACTCTAGGAGGTCTGGGGGTAGGCAAGGGTTTTTTTTTTTCAGATAAGATTAAAATATTATTTTTCTGGGTAGTGTAACTGATACTGGTCCCAAAGACATGGCAACACTGTTGTTTATGTTAAGCACCAACCCGCATCTAATAAACTGCAAGCAGAGGTTTTTTCTGTCATGGAATTCCGTTCTTGGTTTGCTTATGGCATAAACAGACCAACTGCACATCTGACAGAGACATGAATGACTTCATAAATGCTAAAGGCCATGCTGGAAAGAAATCGTTCTTTAAAGGGTACCATCTGAGGGTGCTTCCTCATATTATAGCACTTTGAAGCACTGAAACATTGTTCTGATGTCTAAAATTCTTATATGGTAGTAATAAATAATCAGTTTACCAAAGTAAGCAATATGTTTGTTACATGCTGCTGAACATTAATAGGCCTTTTTCAAAAATACCATAATACCCTTTGTTGTCCCTCCAAAATTTTGCATAAGCATTGTTTTTAACATCATTTCTCTTTAGGGTGCTTGTAAGTCCCAAGAGAAATTGAAGATGCTTATGCAAAATTTTAGAGGGACAACAGAGCGTATTATGGTACTTCTAAAAAAGGCCTATAAAACTTATGTCTTACCAAAGTACAGTTTGAGATATTTGTTTGTACCCCATTTTGCTTCAATCTTGCTAGAGTCCTATATTAGCCAGTTGGTAACCTGCTATTTACTCAGTCCCAACCCAAACAAGACTCATGTCTGACAATGTCTAAACTTATCAATTTAGTTAAGTAATGCTGTTTTATCTCTTGCTTTTGGAATTCCAGTTTTCACTGGGCTGTGAGAAGGAACATCAGGCAAATTCACAGCAGTCCTGTCTTCATCAAAGTCCAATTGCCTTGATGAGAGAGAACTTGGATGCTGATGGCCTATGGAAGACCTACCACTTGAGAGGTCATAAGGAGGTGACCCAGCCTGTGCTATGGTTGCAGTATTTCCAATAGTGAGATTTTCTAACTCCCGTTCCAGCTCATCTAGCTCACTGGATCCCATCCCTGTGGTTTCAGAGATATAAGAGTTACCGCTTACAATTGCTGAATCTATGTCTTGAGATATACTTAAAGTCTCATTAACCTCATCCATCACCCCCTCAACACCTTCAATACTTAAATCTGAATGCATGCACTTCAACATTGTAGCTCCTGATTTTAGAGCTTCCAGGACAGTTTTATTTGTGTGTGCATTCTGTATTTGGTGTAAAATTTCTTCTAAGGAGTGCAAGCTTGCTATTGTTTTATCCAGAGTCCGCTGTCGAAGATCTTTCCTTTTCAGCAGTTTAAGCGCCTTAGATCTATGGCCAGCCTTTGCAAAACTAGCTGCTTGCATTCTGCATTTTTCCACCTCATTTGTCAGCTTATTCACTTGGAGTGTTAAAATTGCCAATGTTTTCTTCAACCTTACTATTTCCACATCACTGTCGGAGACTGGTGCCACCTTTGTTTCCCCTTTCCTTGCAAATTTTACAACCTTTTCTCCTTCCTCTGTAATGAAAACCAGTGCTTTGTTTTGTTTTTGTAAAGCAGCTACAAGAATTGTGAGAGTCTGATCATCGACATTTCCACAGCGTGCCTTGAGCACATTCAATGGTATCATGTGATCAGTTGTTTCACATTCCACGCGATCATAATGTTGCTTAAGAATCCACTGTGCCTTTTCCTTTGCATCATCCACTAAAACAAACTGCTCGTGACCATCGAGTTTTGTATTACTACTTCCTTCCCAAACAAAACCTACACTCCACTGAAAAGATCTCTTCGCAAAGCCATACGACCACGACAACCAGCCTTCGCGAGCACAGTTTGTAAACTCCTCTTTCCTCTCAATCTTTCCTTGTTGAAGCAATTCTTTCAAAACATTGTCCAACCCGAGAGGAGTCAAGCCATTTCGCGAAAATCTTCGCTTCAGCGTTGTTAGATCAATACAAATGTCCCCGTGATGTTTACATCCATTGAGAATTGCCTTGCTCCAGTAGTGTAGCTTAGAGTCCCAGTGTTTAGGGTTTACTTCTCTACTATCAGGAAAGGCCGAAAACATAAAGTTCATTCGATCATCGTCACCCCAGTCCGTTGGCAAAAACTGCTTTTCCGCCATTTTTGATGTCAAGACCGTTTGATAATTCGTATACAGCAACTGTAATGACCTTCAATAAAATTCGAGGGTGTGAACTCCTCTCCCCTATCCCTTAAGGAAGGCCAAACCCTATGATTAGAAGTCAAAATACAGAAAGCATACTCACTCCTATTTTTTCTTATTAGAAATCTAACCATGTGTGTTTGTTTTATGTATTTCCAATTCCTTCCATGGTAGCCTCGAGGTTATTTCGCCGCTCCTCTCCCCCCTCCCGACCGTGCACTTTTGCTTTAAAAGAATGTTTAGTTTAACGCCTGGAACATTTCAACATTGCGACGCCGGCGGCAACAGGTTCTCATGGTTATGCACCGGTTCTTTCAAGTATTCAGCGGTGGATATTTCTCCGTTCCTTTTTCAAGAGTTTTAATGGTTGAAAGATATACCCACTTCATTCGTGGAGTCTTTCGGTAAATGTTTTCAACAATGGTTAGGACAATTTTTCTGCGAATCCCAATTAGCAAACAAAAATGTATTTTCTTAACCATTGCTGTAATCTGTCTTCTCGGTTACTTGGTTCTAAAAAGGACAAAACCTCTAAAACCTCTTGCTGATGTTGGAAGATCTAAACATGTGGCTGGTAATAAGTTGAGTAAAAACATGGCTACTGGGCCAAGCATGACAATGGACGAGAAAGACTTTCTACTTGATGGAAAGCCAGTTGGAAGATCTAAACATGTGGCTGGTAATAAGTTGAGTAAAAACAAGGCTACTACGCCAAGCATGACAATGGACGAGAAAGACTTTCTACTCGATGGAAAGCCAGTTCGAATACTAAGTGGAGCTATTCACTATTTCCGAGTTGTTCCAGAATATTGGAGAGACAGATTGCTGAAACTCAAAGCGATGGGGCTGAATACTGTTGAAACGTGAGTAAAGCTCAGTTTTGGGCCCGGGAAACTATACAAATTTTGCATTTATATATACACCCGAAACTATAATAACAATTGAGTTTAGAAAGCCTAGGATTATCTTACGCTGTGGCTATATGGCCGGTAACCGGTCAAGGTTTTCAAAACACTAAATGACCGGCAGTCCTATATTCTCGGTAAATTTATACAAAATCGAAAAATCCAGGCTAATCTAAATTATCACATGTCGATTAAGGAAAGTCAAGCAATCCTGAAATGCTTTATAGATCTCAAGTATATACATGTAGGGCCAGTTATTTAATTTAGTTTAGCCAGTGTTTGACAAAACTGCCTTCTAAGCCATTTTCTATTTGCCCAACGGTTTTATCTAAACACTATTTATTGTGAACAGCTTTATGAAAGCATACAGAGTAGACAAGAAAAGTATTATCTTCTTAAAATAACCCACTAAGAAAGAGATCTTGAGGTCCAAAGATTTGTTAAACCTCAGCTTAAGTTAGACTTTGTTGAAATAATCGACCCATAGTGTTTGGTTTACACTGGGCTCCGAAGACGAAATCATGTATTGTGACACTTAAAACTTTTTTCAGCTCGACTGCTGGTCAAGGTTTTGAAAACACTAAATGACCGGCAGTCCTATATTCTCAGTAAATTTCACAAACTGAAAAAATCCAGCTGATCTAAACTATCATATGTCGATAAAAAAAAGTCAGTCTAGGGTTTGGTTTATGCTGGGCTCAGAAAACAAAACCATGTTTTGTGACACTTGAAACTTTTTTCAGCTTGACTGCTGGTCAAGGTGTTGAAAACACTAAATGACCGGCAGTCCAATATTCTCAACACATTTAGCTTGACTTGTAATTGCAGAACTTTGTTATCAGTTTCTCAGCAGTGAAAGTGAATATTTATGAGCAAAGACAATCATGTTTCCAATAGAATATGGAAATAGATTAAGCCCCTAAAGTTGCAGTTACTAAGTCCCCGCAGGGAGCAAAATATGCCTAAGTCCCTCCAACCACTCCGCCCCCCTTCCATTTTCAAAAAGGAAAACAGGTTAACATTTCAATAGCCAACTAAGTAGTAAAGCTGCTTATGTGATTGAATTTAAGTGAGTGTCTGGGTAAAACTGATGTGAGTTGAAGGGTACTCAATAGGATTTGAACTAGGCATCTGCCCAACCTTAAGTAGGTGGCTGTGACAAAGAAGGGCCCGTAAACTAGGGCGAGGAAAAGCAGCAAATAGAATGCAAAGTAAGCGGCTACAAATTCCAAAGAAGGCAGCAATCAATCGCTGGGTACTGGCTCTCATTGAGAACCCTGGACTTGACATTGATGTTGCTACATTGGTTTAGTTTCATTGTAAGTCTTATATGGAAGAGGGGTGGGAGGGAATGGTGTGCTTTGCACATTTCTAGGTGTTAGTGACCAAACAATGTTGGTTTGACTCAAAACTCTCCGTTTATATGGTCCCAAGCCTAAGTTGCATAATATTATTACAGATTATTAAATAATGTGGAGACTGGTAAATTATTATTATTTATTGTTCATTCAAAATATTTCCCTGCTTCTGATTGGCTATAAGTGCACGTTTAATTCACCATAACCAGTTACTGATGACCAAATTTGGAAGCATTTTGTGTTTAACGGGGAAATGACGTCAAAAATGGAGCGTTTTCGCAGGTTAAGGCACCATTAACCAAGAAGACTTGGGGACGAGGTTGAGTTGTTTTGGTTGTGAAATTGAAAAATGGCAGACATTTCACTTGTTTCAAGTAAGAACTAGGTGAAAAAATAGCTAAAAACATGGCAAGAACAGCAAGAAGACAACTCGAAGGGCGACATCTGCTATTTAGAGAATATTTGCAGAGCTGGACAAACCTAAACGTGCACTATTGAAGATGAACTTAACATTGAAGGATCGATGGAGGTAAGCATGTGTTAGCCATGTTTTTAAACTATAAATTATTTTGAATGAATAATAAAACAATTATCGAATTTGGCTTTCGTATCATATGAAGAATTATGGAGATCTTGGAGGGTGTTATCCGCCTTGGCCTACGGCCTCGACTGATAACACCCTCCTCGATCTCCATAATTCCTCATAAGATACTCAGCCTCATTCTTATTGTTAATTAATAAATAATGCCGGTTAAATTTGAGCCAGTCAGGTGCAAAATGCAACAAGGAGAGTAGGAAATGTAATGATGCTTGGGAACATTGTGTTGTTCTCTTCCACCTTTTTTAGGCAACTGAGTGACAGGGATTGAAATTTGTTGACTAGTGTGACGTACAGCTCACAGATAAGCAACCAACGCACATGCAAATCACACACTCCAGGTGTTTTTTGTGTTAACACAGGGCTGTCAAAATGTTTTTAAGTAGCAGGCTGATAATGAATGGTAGGCGGCTCTGGAACTCACACCAAAGGCACAAGTTCTGGAGGGCCAAGGCATCTAGGGACGATTTGAAAATTATAGTCTCGGTAATGGTGTTTCCAAGGGTTTTCAAAAGGTGTTTCCAACCGCTTATGCCATGTTGTTTCATTAGAATACACGCAAGCCTGGGAACAATGCCGTCAGCAAGTCCCTGGCGTTCCAAGACATCGCACAGTTCAAACATTTCACAGGTCTAAACCTGTTAGAATGTGCATTCAATGTCATTCAAAACTGGGAAATAGATGCTTTACAATTTTATTCGATGATGCTTTATTATTTTTTGTTAGCAGTTATGGTAGAAGGAGATGAAAGTAGCCAGCTAAGGATGGCTAACTAGCTGGTGGTTTTGGCTGGCTACTGGCCCTTATTGACAGTCCTGTAACACAACTGTTCGAAAGATAGTTTTTAAAACTAATTTAACTTGTCCCCAATAGTCTACCTTTTAATACCGAGTCTGATCCTACAGACATTGCTTAAGCTTTTTGTTGAAGTTGTTATAGCAACAATTCGCCAGAAACAATACGTTAGCTCATACACACTAATCAGTTCTACAGCAAAATCATTTTTGAAGTACATTAATAGATTTCTTGCTAGTTAACATGTTTGAAGTGGTTTAATGTAGATGCTAACCTCTGAGCTGTACTGATGGTGTTTTTAAGGTTGTTTAATGTCAATTCAATTGCCTTGCAGGTATGTTGCATGGAACTTGCATGAAGAAATTAAAGGGCAGTTCAATTTTGATGGTATCCTTGATTTAGGGTAAGAATCAAGTGACTTCATGCTTAAAAAAAGACTGTTTCTAGTCTTGCTTGCATAAGCAGCGAGACTCATAATCTGCAAGCTGTGTTATTTCTTTGTATTTGGTACACAAAACAACGGCTGTGGCTGAGAGCAGCATTCGTAGCGGAGAAAGTAGAAACTGGGAATAAGAATCATTGCATGACCAAAGCCATGAATGTTTTGCAAAGAAAGCTTACCGATAGGTTTAGAACTTTTCTGGAACAGGTCTGTCCACAAATTCTGTTGCTTGAAAGTGTTGATTGCTTTGGAACAAGTGAACACTTTGGTGGTTGAAAAAAAAAGAAGAATCTTAATTTTAGCAAAAGACTAACTGGTCAGGTGTTGTAAACTTTCATCGTATGCAAATTATATGAGTCTTGTTATGAGTACCTATGTGGTTTATTTTCGGCGTGGCAACAATTGAAATGATGTTCATGTAAATCACTTTTTTGATATCTGACAATGATATAATTTCTCTGGAATCGTGGCCCTTGGATTTTCATGTATTTATACACGTGTATAGCCTGCAACCGCAGACATATTTCCTGTCACTGCTAACACGCGAACTAAATCAATTCAGAAACAAATTAAAAGGAAATATCCTGCAGTAGGTGTAGTGTCATGGAAACTGTCTAGGCAATTAGTTGCTCATACTGGTTGTAGGTGTTGTTAGGTGTTGTGAATATTTAAATAGTACGTATTTAAGGATCCAGTGGAGAATTATTCATAAAAGGCTGTCAGTTGTGAGGTCGTAACCGGTGTACCCAGTACTTTACAGTAGGGAGTGAAAAACCTTTAGCGAGTAAATCCTGTTTCGTGTAGAATTAATTGCCTCCTCATTTCTCGATCTAATCTTCAAGCAAGCAAGACTAAATACCTCTGTAAGAGCGTTCTTGTTAATTATAATTAACTTATGATCTTTACTGGTAATAGTTAGGATTGAGTGAAGTCCAATTTGGGCTGTAATCATATTACTATCACAAATTCTCAATCCGATTGGCTATCAGCCGTCCTGACTTAGCTTCCTGACTTTCTTTCACTTCCAGCTAAAAAGCTCTTGTAAGATCTTGTGTTTTATTTTTTATTTTGTATTTCACTTACTGTTGTTTTTTATTTGTGATTAGAGCTTTTGTCAAGTTAGCCCAGAAGCTGAATTTGTATGTTATCATTAGACCAGGACCATACATTTGTTCAGAGTGGGATTTTGGTGGACTACCAAGGTGATCAATATTATTAAATGCAGTTATATGTGGTAACAATAAAAAATACCTGTATATAATGAAATAAAGAGGATAGAAATAGCACGGTCGCTCATTGGTTGGTACCCTGATGAGACAAATGCCTAAGGAGGGGGGGGGGGGGGGGGGTTGGGGCAGGGAGAAGTGTCCTAGCTTCCTCTTTTTATCTCCCTCTGCTTTCTCTTTCTTCATGCATAATCATAAGTGATACCTGTTTGGGTCCAAATAAGAACATTCTGTCCAGAACACCCCGAATGATACCAAATCTGAGATTTACACCCATCAATGTGGGAGTTTCTCCCCTCAGGAACATATATAGTGCCCTGACAGTAACTTGCAAAATGACTGAATATAAGCAAGTTATTATTGGGACAGAAGGTTAACAGAGTTTTATTTAATACACACATTACACAGTGTATATTAATTTGCCAATAAGTCAGTTGTTTTTAGGACAAAAGGCTTAAAGGCAGCAAATTATGGACCTGATGCAAATAAATTTGCCAAAAGGCGAAAAAAAAAAACTTGTCACAGAGCAACTGTCAGTGTAAGTTCTTATATAGCCAGTCACAATACAGATTGTTTTGTCTGAGTGATATTACCATGACAGGTCACTAGGCTGAACAAAGGTGAATAAAGATTAATCCGCAAAAACTGCTCAAGCCTACCTTAATATTTCCACTTTGGTGATGACTAAGAACTTACTCTTAGATCATTAGTATATGCAGACGATTTTCTAGCGAATACTTATTCCACATATTTTTTTTTCCCTGAAGTTGGTTGTTACACGATCCTCAAATGGAACCAAGATCAATGTACCGTCCATTTATTGAGGCTACTGAACGGTATTTCAATAGGCTTCTGCCAATCCTTGTTCCTTTACAGGTACTGATATTTGACTTATGATTAAGGGTACCGTGATCCCCATACACTTTACACACTTAATTACCCACTAATGTATCAGTATGCGTGTTTGTAAAATTTCAAATTATTTTATCATTCTTGAGATCATCATTGTCAACGATATGCAGATCCTTGCATTCCTCTTGTATCCCTATTATTTAAGAAGTGAGAAGGGGGGGGGGAGGGGGAAGGAGCGCTTATTCAATAGGGGTACTTGTTTGATATTATGACTGAGGGAGTGGGCTCTTATTCAGGGGAGGGCAGTTATTAGAGTGTGGGCACTTATTCAAAGAAATTTATATGGTTTTTACTTTTTTATGAACTATACATTGTTTATATTTACAGTATAAGCTTAAGTCTGTCTCCAGCTAATTAGTAGTTCTTTTGACTAGCTAGTAGCTCAAAGACTTGATAAAGTTATCGTCATCATCATCACCAAACTTATCAAAACTTGGTGTCAAGTTTGTGAGTAAAGAACAGGTATTAGGTTAGTTGTAGTTAGTTTTTTCATTTTGTTCAGGGTAGTTAGGTTATTTATAATTCATATACTCCTGATAAATTTTACCATTCCATTCTATCCTATTCGAGAAACTTTTAGAAAATAATGCGCTCTAATTTGCTACAAAATTTTGGGATAATTGCATTTTATCTCTTAAAGTTACATGTACATTGGTGGATCTGAATAATTTTGAATTTTTGGAATTTTTTACAAACAATTACTTAACCTTTAAACCCTAAGATCAAAATTTGAATTCTTCTTTGTCACCTCTATTCATTTCCTACAGAAGTAGTGGGGAGAAGTTGATGAAATATCAAGCAAATTCATCTTGTGTGATCATGTCCATAATTCTCATGACCACTCTGTTTACAAAGCATTGCTGTTACAAGGAGAAATTTGATGCTGATCACTCTTAGGGTTTAAAGGGTTAAAAGGGAATGCATAGAGAATTGGACATATAAAGGAGACTAGCCCTTAACCACTTATGTGCTGGATATTGAGGTAAAACGGTTTGTCTTTAGAGCTAGTACCCCTCCACTAAGGTGAAAATGTTTCTGATGGTTTTGTGGGGTGCAAAGTCAAACTGTATAGATAGTGTTTTACAAACTCAATGATACAGCCATTTCGAGAAAGGGTTGTTGGAAAAAATGTGTACATGACAATCCCAAAAGGTAATATGGGATATGATCAAAATACTATTCCTAATGACTGTGGCTGGCAAACCTACTTTTGTTGCTTTCCTTTCCTTTCCCGTGGCCTCCCAATGACCCATGCTATTCTTTCAAATTTCTTTGAAGAACAGTGCACTTAAAAACCACCCTCAATTGTCATGTGCACTTTTTCTGATTACTTTTCTCAAAACAGCTCTATATGGACTTTACTGACTCTCTGTTCTCCTTTATTAGTACTCTAAAGGTGGTCCCATAATAGCATTTCAAATTGAGAACGAGTATGGAAGCCACTACACTGATGATGTCAACTACCTGAATCATCTAAAATCGGTTAGTATTTTCTTTGAAGTGTCCATAAGGCCATGAAGGGTAGTTTGGGCAGGTATTGTAATTAATAAGGAGTTGGGGTAAGTTCATGCTTAAGTCAGGCCCTCAAAGCTGTCCGTGTGCTCAGGGACGGTCTGACAACATCAGTAAAAACTTAAAAGGGGCCAAAGGCAGCTTTAACGTTTGATTTATGCCCTATTTACAAGGAGAAACACCATCCCAGCCAAGTTAACTTAAATGAGGGTTGATATGAGAAAAATATTGTCATTTTTGCCCAAGCAAACAGCTCTTATGCAAGCTCTCTGCATCTGATCTGTCTGTCTAAAACAGTGCTCACATATGCTCTGATTGTCACACCTTGACTGAGTTGTCCTGGCCGGGCAAGCAGGCTGGAGAAGTGTTGGGCCAGCTAGGAGGGTGACCCTACCATCATAAAAGAATGACCTGGCTAGGCAGGTCACCCTTCTAGCTGAGCCAACTTCCTGTTTCTCATGTACATGGCTCACCTCGTTTTGTAATAAAATGTATGAAATGTTGGCTTGCCCAGGGTAGAGCGAGTAGGTGGGTAGATGCACACAGTTGGAACCATCTCTAACTGTTACAGAGAAAGGTGTCTGTCTTATAGGGAGGTTGGTTACAGTTAAATGACTGGCACCAAAGGGACAAACAACAGGGGTCTTTGAAGAGAAAGTGTTTGTATTTGTGTTATTCAGCTTTATTCGCTCAGGAAAGTCGCATGAGGGAACGAAAAAAAATATATATGGCAAGCAGAGAGGCAACTGACTTCCCACCTCTCTCCTGTTCTTCTATCAGTCTGTTCACTCTCTTCAGTAGATCATCAGTCCTGCCAAGCCCTGACTCAACTGACTAAAAAGAGGCTGCCCGCTTTGCCCTCCATTATTCAACATGTTTCCGTGGGTTAAATTAACCTCGTTATACTACTACATGAGAAATTTCTGCAATTTGATTGGCTTAGATCAGTGGTATTTCAGCTTAATTTGAAATACCTACATGTGAAAATTACAAACCTTGTGTGGGTAGTAGTATAAACAAATAATAGCATGATGTGCACGTGATATTTGACATAAATACCACTAGTGATATTTCAAAATTGTCGCAAATTTCACTCGCCTAACGGCTCGTGAAATTTCGTATAACAATTTCGAAATATCACTCATGGTACTTATGCCAAATATCACTACAAATCATGCTATTACCTATACAAATTTCCGAACTTCGTTTAAAGATGGAATATCTAAAACTTTGAGGACCTTTCTTAGGAAACTCTCTCCCCCTGAAATGAAGCTATGATGCAGGCAGAGTCTTATGCTTAAACACTTAGACCACCCAGGGGGACGGGACTCAATGTTCTGGATAGTTAACTACGCTTTTTTGTGGGCTCATATATTATTTTTTACAAAGTCATACATCATTTTGTTGTCTCTGAGCTATTTGTACTTATTTGTTAGTGCTTAATATATATCTATACACAGTAATTTTCAAGGAGTTATAATAACTCCTCTAGTGGGGCTAATTTAACTCCTTACAGTGGAGTTATTTTTTTGGGAGTTATTTTAACTCCAAAAATGAGTTTAAAGAACTCTTTTCAAGGAGCAAAAGCGACCCCAGATATTGAGGAGTTAAAATAATGCCAAAAAGGAGTTATCCTGTACCTAAAATTTTTACTTCACTTTCAGAGTTAAATTAACTCCAAAAAAAGTAAAAACCACCCATGTAATGAGTAAAAATAACTCCATTTCGGAGTTATTTTAACTCCAGACTGGGAGTAAAAAGAACTCTTTTTTTGGAGTAAAAATGACCCCAAATTCGGAGTTAAATTAGGAGTTAAACCCCCAAAAAGGGGTTATCCTGTACCTAAAACTTTTACCCCATTTTTGGAGTTATAATAACTCCTTAAAAATTACGGTGTACCTGAAACGGCCACTTTGTAATTTGGCAAAGTCTGTGTTAATTGTAAGCCTGTGTAATGACAGGCTCAAAACTTACCATCATATCTCACAATTTCTGTTTCTCGTTGTTAAAACAGCTTATGATCGATGAGGGCATAACGGAACTTCTGTTTACATCGGACAATTCTGGTGGATTACATAAACGGTTTTTGTCTTTACCTAATGGTAGGTCATCTATACTGACATTATTTCTTTCTCGTAATTTTTTTTTTAAGTAAGCTTACATGTAAGTGATACAAGAAGCTTTTTTCATCTCGATTTCAGTGCTGAAAACAGTCAACTTTGGAAATGGTGCAGAGTTCAAGCTGAATAACTTAGTTGCAGAGATTCAGGTATTGGAGTTGGAATTTTGGAAAAAAACTAATTCGTTTTTTTAATCATACGGTGTAAGCCTTGACTATTGTTCCTTTTAAAGGGAACTGCGCATCATTTCAATCTTATGTTTTTGACCGCGAAAAATTTTGCTGGCAAATTGGTCAAGTTTAAGTTCATTTTATTTCACACCATTTACATTGAAAGATCACAGATATAAATTAAAACAATAACAGATTCTTTTCAACAGCTAATTAAATAAAGCAGAGCTAATACTACTTTTTTACTGAATGTGTGTGGGGGCCAAAGTAGCATCTGCTTTCGAGGTGGCCACCACCTACTTTAGAATAAACAAAAACACACTGGGCTTCATAAACATGGAATCTACTAACTAAAGACAGTGACTGTGCTGTTTTCGTAAGACATGGCTTATAAAACAGACAGTTGCGTCGCTCTTACACGCCTGCTATTTTCAGTCGAAAAGTTGATCTGTTTGCTTGCGTTTTTGTAGGTCATAATGTAAGGACAAATGTGGATGTAAAGAGGTTTCTTCTCTCGGGCGTGGGAAGTGGAATACCTTCCTGCGTCTGTTGTTTGCTTATGTCCAGATCGAAAATCTCCAGGCTTTTAAGAAATCACTAAATACACAGCGATCAATGGCAATTTTTTTGGGAAGCTGCAGATCCTGATAGAGCGGTTTTCATTTGAGTGTCGAAAAGTAATTGGTTTTGCACTTTCTAAACGATGCGATTGGCTTAAAAGATTCGCGCCACCTTTTCATCCAATCAGAAGTAAAACCAAAGTCAATTGTGACGCGCTCGCATGCATTTTCCCACGCTTTGCGTCAGCCACATGTAATTACTTCGAGTTTTGATTGGTTCAATGTATTGTCTGTGTCCTATGTGATTGGCCAGAGTAATTACTTTGGTTTTGGTTTTACGACACTCAAACGAAAACCACTCTAGTCTTTCTCAACTTAGGTCATGTTATTCACCTTGGTGGGAAAAAAAGATAGGGAAAGAAGACCATTAGGGAGCTTAGGCAACAACGACCATGACGGCTACGAAAACGTCACTAGAAAAGTGAATTCTCGCTGCCTCAAACTTGATCGCGCTTATTCCATCTCGTTTAATTCGACAAATGCTGACAATTTTTTTTGGAGTTGAATTCTAAAGGACTGTATCAAAGTTCAGGAAAAGAAAAATAAAGTTGTTACCTTGTGTTCACGTCCTGGACAAAACGTGAAGTTAGGCACTTTCACGTTGTAGTCGTGCAACGACGGCAAAGAAATGTACAAGAAATCGTGATGCACGTGCAAAGTTGTTGTTTTGCTAATCTAAACCTATCGCTTTGTTGCCGTTCTCGTTGCCGTCGCTGTCGTCGTTGCTTAAGGTGGCTCCGTAATTAATACAAGAGCATTTAGCTGTGACAAATTTTCCGTCATAACTTTTTCGATTTTAACGCGATGGCTGCGAAACTTTGCAAAAAACAACAGATATCATTTGGCAATAATACGAAATATTCCGATTTCATTGATGGTAAATATTTCTTGAGAAATTAGCGCTTAAAAGAACCCTACTGTTCAAGGAAAATCGCGTCTAGTAAAAAAATTTGCTGATATTTTTTACTGAAATTTCTGGTATCGGCTTTAATTGATATAATAAATCTGCCACGTGCAAAGTTGTTGTTTTGCTAATAGGGAGCTTAAGCAACAGCGTTTTTGAACGACGGACGTCAACCGGAAGTGGACTTTTTGCATCATTGGGGAGCGGTTTGGTTGAAACTCTCGGGTAAATCGTCTTTAAAAGAGAAAAGAAACTCAGCAATACAAGTTTGTTAGCGTCAAGGCATATAAAAAGGGAGAAGGCCTCACTTCCGGTTGACGTGCGTCGCTCAAAAACGTCTTTGCTTGAGGTCCCTAATGTAAACCTATTGCTTTTTTGCCGTTCTCGTTGCCGTCGCCGTCGTCGTTGCTTAAGCTTCCTATTGAAAAGGGACGTACGTACGTGACGCTTTTGACAAGTCAATAACAGAAGTTTGAAGGCTAACACGAAACAGAGAATATTTCCGATCTGCGGTCAAAGATGAGACGTCCAGTAGGATAAGCAGTTAGATTGATCATTAAGATAATAACACTTCTCTCTGTTATTCCGTTGTTTGGAAGCCAGGTAAACCAGCAATGGTTGCCGAGTTCTGGGATGGTTGGTTTGATCATTGGGGTGAGGAGCACCACACCCGAAAAACTGAAAATGTGGCCTCCAACATGGAGGAGATACTCAAGTTTGGAGCTTCTGTTAATCTCTACATGTTTCACGGTTTGTGTTAAAAGATTTTATAGTCAAGCAAACGCCCATATGTACTTAAATAAACTGATTATTTGAAAATTGAATCCGTCATTTGTTGCTGCTGCTCTTATCAAATTCTGTAATTACTGCATACATAATAAGCAGTAAATTTTAGACTACAACTTTTCTGTATCCGGTCAGGTTTCGATGACTGTCTTATTTTTGCCTTCAACCACATCGCAAAGAAATGTCTTTCCAACGCTAGAAAAGTTCGTACAAAATTTCCATTTAATCTTAAAATTGTACTCTGAAACGAATGACACTTGCCAAATTTAGGGCAAATGTCAAAGGGAAATTTAGAATCTCGTTCAGTGTGAAACCAGAGTATTTTTAGCTTTCTCCTCTCGCCTCCCTAAGGACGTCTTTGTGCTAGGCTATGAAGTCCGCAGAGGCTGGGAAGACAGAGGAGAAGCACGCAAGGAATAATAGGAGGTTGCCTTGCTCGCTGACGGTTTTAGGGGTTACGCTTACGCGTTGTGGAGGATTGCGTGACGAGCCAACAAATGTCTGCGTGGGAGGCTAAATAGGAAGGAGAGCAGTGGATGCGTTGCCTGGCGCTTGCGGATGATTTTTTAGCAGGTGGTGGATCCTGTTTTTTGAGGGAGTGGCTGTGAACTGCAGATAAATTAAACGTGAATAAATTCAGTTTGTTAGGGACTGAAGGGAAAGTGTTAGAAACATGGGGCCTTTGTATTAGGTTACAATGTATTATCGAAAGGTTGAGAAATTGTTTTTCTAACATGGCGTCTCTTGTTGTTTTTCAGGGGGGACAAACTTTGGGTTCATGAATGGAGCCAACGCTCTCCAACCAACGACCACCTCTTATGGTACTATACAATACAAAACAATATAATTAACAATTGGTTTTTCTTCTGTAGTAACATTAACACTGGTAAAGTCGAGATAGTCGAGATAACCCCGAAATGTCCGACTATTTTGTCTTCTAGATTTCTGACCTCTGTAGATTTTGATAAGTAATACCTATTCGATCTTTGGACTTTGAATAGCCTGTATTCCCCCAAAATGCTAAGGAGGTCGTTCATTTGAATATTTCGTAATGTAATGTTATGTAATGTTGTGGATTAGAGGGGGCTTATTTTCGGAATTTTACGGTATTTTTACATGTTACAGGGTTGTCACTAAGATTTCAAGTTGCCGGGTAAACACAACAAGTAGGCGGGGAATCAAACGGCTAGGGATTTCTTTTGGTTCTATTTTTCTTCTATTTTCCAATAAAAGTAGCCGGGGACCACTCTCTTAGTAGCCGGAGAAAATCCCCGGCCCCCGGCTCTTAATGA